CACCACCGGGGATTTTTCTTCAAACCAGTCGTTGAACTAAATTAACTTCTTCGTACGACTTATGCTTACGACTTTTTCCCATGCGGTGACCTCGGATCAGTTTACACCGGTGTCTTCGTGGACCCACTTTTAGCCAACTTTTTGAATACGAACTTCGAAATTGGCCCCATTAAGTCTGGCTTCAATCGTAGCACCTTAACGTTCGTGCTTCCCCCATCCGTCTTAGCCCGTTTATCGGACATAGCTGTGAGCTTCTGAAGTAGGGCTCACAAGCACCGCCACACGATCACCATAGCGAGAGCTCGTAGTACATGATATACGACTTTCTTTGAATAGGGGTTAGACCTGCTCCGTACTGGGCATGCCAGTACGCACGGATGGGTCAGTCTGTCTCATAGTCTAACATCCTTGCGAAAAGGATGCAGCCATAGATAATTCTTAAGTGAACATCAGAGAAACCCTTCTTTTTCCATTTTACCGGCTCCTCACTTATTTTAACCTGATAATAATCAGAAAATTATTATGTAACTTTGGCAGCTTGCGCCCCACAAGCATTGTCAATTACAGAAGTCCTGATGGGCAAAGTCAGATGCGGGGTACATCTTGCGAAACAGTAGCTATACCGGAATTGTCAACGAAGCAAAACGCCTGGATTTGGAGATCCTGGGTCCTTTTACAAGCTGCAATAGTTTTTCCTCTGCCGCACATTGCGAAGCAGTTAGTCAGCTGCAAAGATTGGCAATATTGTCAAGAAATTTTAGTTCACAGTAGCTATCGTTTGTAAATTCCAACAACCTATATTGAAGGTCGTTCTCCCGGTAAACAGCCCAACCTGCTTTTTTCTCCCACAAAAAGCTAAGTCAGAACTGCGGAACCCTCGAGTACCGTTGGACAAATTAGCACTACGTAAAACACTTTGTGGATACGTACAGCATGATGATATGCGGAAATTGGCGTGCGGACTCTGTTTTTTATAACTAGTCGTCTCCGGCAGCAGCACAGTAAATTAATTCCCCCATCTTAAAACAGAATAGACGGAATGCAGTATTTTGCGTCTTTTAAGCCTGCATGAATTTTTATGTCTAACAAAGCGCCTCAGAAACGACACCGGAAAGTACCCTACAACGACTTGATAGGCTGATTAGTCTGCGTAGACTATTTCTTACGCCTCCAGCTTGGGTATATTATCTTAAAACACATTTCCCTCCCGTCTTATTTCTTTCTGAATCTTTATTTTTCTTTCTAGGTGCATTCTGTGCGCATATATTCAGTTTTGTCACAGCATAAAAAGCACACCGCATGCAAGCACTGAAAAAGGTATGGCCTACTTGTTTCTTCACTTTAAAAATGCGTTCGTCTAGACTACGAATCTGACCGGCTTGGCGGTGGCCAAGGCTCCCCATAAGGCAGGTGTCCATCTTGTCTTCTAACGGTTATTTTAGTCGCTGAAAGCTGTTTACTCGCGTATACTGGCTGTGCTTCAGATGATGCCATCGACCGCTTTCTACCGGACGCATACAGAAAAGTTAGTAACTGAGCGCCTCAAGATGGTGGAAAGCGTAGGAGATATTTCCTTTTAATGGCTTTCCCTAGACACCGAATATTGCTGACCTGGAAAAGAAGATTGACTGCGGCCAAATAGAAGAGGTCATTGTGCAGGTGCGTATCGCTGAAGTTGGCCAATTCCGGAATTTGCTTTGTTTCAAAACCCATTCGCAATGTTTGCCTCTGTCATGAGTCTTCAAGTAACTGTTGACACTGGCCGCTACCAAAGTCGGTTATGGTGTATGGGAGGGGTAAACATCTTGGTGGATTGGCTTATCTCATGGAGTGTTCGTTCCGCTCTGCCTTCGCCTGACCCCCAACTCTACAGGCCTGCGCTTGCTGCCTGAGATTAGAGTAACTGACGTGCCTCTGCGGCGCTGAGTTTGTCTGTGAGGTCTGGTTCGCTCATTAGAGCTGAGTAAACCATCTTGGAGATCTGGACGGGGATTGGGTTCCAGCTTAGCCACTTCATCCCAACGCATATGCAGTCGTCATTTTGCTGGGGGTCGACGGGGGTATGGAATGAGAGATGGCGGTCGATGGTCCGTAGTTCTTCGTTAATCCGCCCGAATCTTACTGCTCTCTATCTCAGTCTTGTGGTTCACATCGACGTATGAACTGTCACGAGTTGGTAATGATATCTTTTGTCCAACTTCTGGATTTTGTTTGCTTCTCCTACATGTCCGGTTTTGTTTCCTTACTTTATCAGCAGTATTTTTTCAATTCACCTACCCTAACTGTCTCTATGAGCCCTTGTCACTTCTCCTGTTTTAGGCCAACCGCGAGTACGAACTTGCCAAGAATATGCTGAAATGGAAGCCCTGGGAACCGCTTGTAGCGGAACCGCCTGCTAATCAATGGAAATGGCCCATATAGCTTGTCACTTATTACCCCAACTAGTAATTCTATCTTCGAATGCATCAGTTGCCATCTTTGTGCAGCAGAGTTCGTCTTATTAAAAAAAACCTTAGTTTTGTTGCCATTCTGTCCAAATTATGCGAGGGCTAACCTTATCACTCAAGTAGTCCCCACAACCTTGCTATCCTTTCCGTTTATTGTTCACGTCTCCTAACCTTACGAAGATCGCTAAACGGTCTAAAAACTTACATAAGAATAACGTTCACCGATCTGTTCTGATAGTGAGACAGAAATGAGCAGTTTGTTTTTGCCTGAATCTCGAGGTCAGAAGCATCCTCAGGCTGGTCTCAGCTAGATGTTTTCTGGCGTTCGTCGCCTACAAAGGTTACCAACTATTCACTGAAGCCTCTGGAAACTCTTCTTGATATTTGCTGCGCGGATAGATATAGCAGTGATCACTGCACCCCATTTCCAGTCGTTTTGACCTTGTCCTTCTATTAGAGGGTGAAACAGATACTGCAAAAGTCTCCTTTTTAGAAATCCGACTCATGTGTTAGTAACTGCTGCATCCTCGGAACAGCTGCTCGTTACCTGTAATTACAATCTAGATGTATGTAGTCGCTCTTGTGAGCGTCTGGATTACTGATCATATACGTATAAAAAGATGAAAGCTAGGGACATTAGCACCGATCTACGCGCTCAGAATACAATTATTGCTGGGTTGCCATTCCAGATTTGACAACGGACCTCCATGCCTGTCAAGTCTGCTCTAAGGTTGCCCATTCGTCTTATTCTATGAATAGGCACTTCGGCGGGTTCTTCCGAGTGTGGTTGTTGCGTCGCTTTCGGCCTTAACTGCGATCATCGACAGTAATTTCACCATACAAAAACGGACTCGATGGCTACTCATTATTCACCCGCAAACAGTGGTTGTCCCGTCAAAGTTGGATCGTTACTAATACGTTGCATGTGTCAGTTAGTCTTAAGGCCTGGGTTTCCGAAATACGTTCTTCACACGTGACCTTTCCTATTCTTTGAGGACAACTCGGGTGAAATTGGTTGGATTTCTGCGCATGGGTTCCATAGGCCATTCAGGTCTCTGCATCATGCAGAGACGCACATCTCTCGCTTGGTATTAAGAATGCTCCAACTATTTTCTAGGGAGGAGTGAGGATTGTAGATAGACGTTTTCATTCCTCATAAGTCGTCTATACGTTCACCCTCATAGGGTTTAGCCCGCCACCTGAGCCGGTTGCTGGGCTGCGGGACACCGTTTAATGTAATCATAGATGAGGGCTGGATACCAGACAGGGACGGAGTGGAGCAAAAATCAAACGTGTCGAGACGCGTTTAGTGATTCGCCACTCGTCCATAGGGCATCTAATCCCCTGGACAACCCTTTGCCACCGCACATTGTCAAACCTTAAGAACCGCAAGGTGAGTCTGCAATGAAGAGAGCGGGGTTGTCGTCCTCGACGTAAAGGCTTGAGAAAGCGGCTTCACTGCCCTCTTACTCGTCGCATCATCGGATCTGGTCATTGGGGGGAATGTAGGCACTGAGGACGGTGGTTACTTCGGTTCCCGAAGAGGCAGGTTTAGGTTCATGGGACGGTCATTGACACCCTGCGACGGACAGGGCACGATTCTCCTCCGGATGGCAAGGCAACACCAGCAAAGCGTCGCTGTTTTTAGGCGACCGCTCCAGAATACGGTATAGTCAGCACCCACCTCGAGTTAGCCTTGCTTGGAGAGCAGGTTCCCGCTGAGGTCAACATGGCGTGCCATTTCTCGAGTTCTCCGTCCTGGTCGGTGGTTCCACGAATTGCCTTAAAGAGAACAAACATCTCCGGCCACTAATGTAAGCACTCTCAATCTGCCAGCCTTTGAGATGGGTACGGGAGTTGTTTGTCTAATTGCTTCGACCACGAGTTGTACATCTGCGAACCACGGTCTGCCTGTAGATGACTTGAACCCATCGTTTGCTTAAAGCATCTGTTCTAGCCCCTTTACCCGCGGGGGGGGGGGGGTAGGCAGAGCTGTCCCTAAGTAGGACTGCTAAGGCATCCCAGACGGCTGCAGGACCCGACTATGGGTCACGTCTTTGTTTAAGAAAGAGCTACCCGAGGTAGCCTGGGCCACCTACGGGATTAACTGTTAGCCTTTCCGTAGGACATTTTGGAGTGGAGGGAGAAGAGAGAATGGGATGGGGAGCAGAATTACCGGCTGTTGGGATACAACATCGGATACCCTCGTGTGGTTTAACTCGCCGTTCGAGACAGTTATTCGGGTGTGGCCGCCTGGCAGAACCTAGCTCTAGGGAGCCGCATGTGAGAGTTGGACACCAGTTAGGCGCTGTGCAGATTTATCACCACCTGCTTGATGCGGCTTACTACACCTTCACGGTTTACCCTCTAACCACACACCTTTTCATCCCCTCTTCATTGTATACTGACCGAATAACATGCCAGGGAATGGAATAAGCTATTATAGGGTTTAATCCGTCTTTGGCATCTTCATAGCACTTTGTACAAATATATGTATACATATAGGGAGACGGTAGATCGAACAAAATAAGCGGTTTGAGGGTTTTTGTGTCTTCAGAGTTTCTCGCTGAAAAAACCATCCGACTTGGTCTCCATAAGAGGAACTCTTCCGTTCTTCGATTGACCCGCCTCAGTTTGAAGGCTTCTGCAACGCTGAAGTTTAATTGTGGTCACTTTAGGTTTCCGCCGTTTGTTTATGAATTCCAGCGCCCACCAAAAGTAGATGCGCATAAAGATAACCCTGAACTTGCGGCTGAACATGTAGTAGGGGATGATGTTGATCGAGGCGTTGAGGATTATCAGAAGATTGCCAACTTCGTTAACAACCAGCCAGAATATTGAGGTATTCGCAGACTGCTTTTGGGTGCCCCACAAGACGTGACTGACAGACGAGGGAATCTAAAAAAGGAGGGGAAATGTTCATTATAAAGGGGAACATTACCATTTGATGCTGGTAGCCAGTCGTATTCAAATTCGTGACCCTTTCCCCGATAGATTGCGCCCAAGGATAAGCTAATTTTAGCCCGGCATTAGAAAAAGGAGAAATTTGTGAGTGGGGCCAGCGCAGTCCTGCTAGCAAATTTGTCCCTCAATGCGTTTTTCATTATAGATAACCGAAGACTCACTGAACGCCTGATGTTGAGTTGAGCATGACGGATACTACTGACAAGCAGTTTAGCAAGACTATTAGGTTGAGACACAGGCGCACCGTTTGTTAGGTAAACGAAAAAGACGGGATTCCAAAAATGTTTCTATCGTTTATGAAAGAAAACAAACGAGGGAGGGAAGAGATAGCTAATAATTCAAAGCCATTAGCATTTAGATGGCGTTAACCATAAGGACGTCCACTGTAGAATTGATGATTTTTTTCGTGGAGGGTTTTCTGTTTGCCGTCCGGGCGTCGGCTTACGAATGCCCGAGGGAATGTGCCTCTGAGGCATAAATTGAGAAGGCGATAACGAAAATCACGGGTTTAATGTTGTGATGTTTCAAAAGAATACGACCTTCCAGCATTGAAGGCGAGATTTATGCAGCGACTCCGACTGAGACCACTGCTTGACAGGGTAGTGGACAATGATTTCGTCGTTTTGAAGCGATAAAAAACCTCTAGGTCCCCTTTATCCTGACTTTTGGTTCGCAACGAAAACAAAGGACAACAATCGACTGCGCTTTGCAAATGTAGATTGGCAAACAGGACCAGAAGACAACGATGTGTGCGAAGCCCACCAAGACATGCCAGGTTCTAGGTAATCACTGTAACTGTCGAAGTCGACTATAGTTGACGATGAGAGATCCAAACTTATAGTCGGCGATGCTGAAGTAGTAAGACCCTTCATTTTTTGTACTCTTCCAACGCGTAACGTCATGGCTATATAACACGCAAGGGATGGCCAAACTGACGGTAAGGTCAGTAGATAAGCGCTGTAAATTCTGGTGGCAACTACCATACACTGGGAACGTATCCGAAGTAGTTGCTCCTCGTTTCCCATCGTTGGAAACAAGAGCCCACCACAGAATTAAGGCAACAGAACGATGTCTGCGACCGAGGCCTGCTACCCCAGACACGTATCAAAACAGCGAACGTCGTCTGTCATGTTTGGTGCAGCTCTTGCATAGCAGAATACAGTGGAGGACCAGTAAGTGAATGGAAACCCTCGGGAGTGGACACTTGGGGGCATATGTAAGGAGGAATCACATCTTGTTGGGTAAGCAATATTGTGCAGCTTCGGGACACGCCTTCGCATTCCAGAACAGGGGTTTAAGGATTGGCTAATCAACGACAGAATCACTGGGGGTTTGACATGCCGGCATAACTTCCAGTAACCACCTCGTGGCACTCTTTGAGGCCTGTCAGGCCACAGGAATGCAGCTGAGACAGCGGAACCACGAAAAGAAAATCGGACCGAACAATAACATAGACAAAACCCACACCTAGCCAGAAGGTATCCGGACCTGAGCATACATTAGAAATGAACGCAGGGAGGGGGGAGGGAGGAGAGGGGAGCGGGAAGAGCATGCAAGATCTACTATGGGGCTTGAATGCAGACGGGTGTTAAGGTTGGTCGAGCGTGAGCGATTACGGCAGGTGTCGACATCGGAATGGCAAGTACATAGCAAAAATTAAGGTGAATGCGAAGGCGGAACAAGGACGGAATGCACACGACTACGTCAACAAAGACGGCGATGCGGAGGAGAGTTATGAGCGTTGACACTCATGGGCCCTCTCCGAACTGGGAACGGGAAAACCATTATTTCCACGACAGCCATCGTGCGCACGTATCTCATCATTCCGACGAGGATGCCGGCGAATTTTGCAGCACGGTCTCCTGTTCATTCTGATTTCCATAGATAGGCTGTGAATGCTATAACTTGAGCGCGTTATATAACCCAATCGGAGAACATCAGTTCACCATACTTAATATTCCTGATCACAATCGGAAGGGCAGCGGGTCGGCGTCTTAATGGTAGATCTGTAGTCTTAACGTTTAATGGCCATAGTACTCTAATATAGGCGAAAATATTGCCCAGACCTATTTCAGTCTCTGGAAAAGCCGCGGAGTAGTGTTCTTGCAAAGAAATATAGTCATGTTGACTGAACTGAACGTATCAACTTTTCTGCTCGTATGCGAAATGATAGACCTGAAAACTAATAAATATGATAGGGTGCATTAACTAAGTCAGGAGTATCTGCCAGCAAACTTACAGCTAATAACGCCCTAGAATGGATATACTATGAATTTTACACAGAATCTGCTGTGCGGCAGGTTTAAAACAAAGTTTGGGCACCGGGTGTCACTTCAAATCTTTCCACGCCTTGGTGCCTGTGAATTTGCAGCAGAGGCAAGTCTTCAGATTCTCTCCTTCTTGGAAAGCCACTAGCGGTTTCAACTCTTAATCGTGATATTTCAACATATATGCATTAAGAGGAATACGCATCCAGCAAAGTCTAGTCAATGTTTATGGGAAGTTAGGCAAGGCAAGTGAATAGGAACCCCCCATAATAAAGGTGGCCTTGCTCAAAATTTCAGGAAGTGTACTTATTCCCATGTCCTAACACTAACAATAAACCAAACCCGCATCTTTATCCTAACACTGATCCTAGTCTTAACCCTACCCGTACGTTAATCCTAGTCTCCCTGGAATTCGGCGTAAAACCACCTGTATTAGAGCGGTTCCCAGTTTCGGGTCCTACCGAAGGTTAAACTGATCGAAGCATTAGGCGCTTTTACAAAGTGCGAGGACAGCAAAATATAAGGCAGAAAAGTAGTACAAGTATAGCACATCTAACCTACTCCGTCCACCGCTGAAACAACAAAGATGTATTTTAGGCACACTCGAGTCTTGGTCAGCCAGAAGAAGTTATTGTTGAAGTACCTACTTGCAGTTAAGGAGGAAAAACCACTGGGGTTTTTCAACGAGGTCCCAAGTGTAATGAAGAACTTCGTAAGTTCTGTTGCCGACAGCCATCATGGCCATTCCTGGTGTCCGTGCTCATGACTCCACTGTGTCAAGTTCACTCACATTTTCAGTGAGCGGTTCTAGACGCGCTAACCTGCAAGCCGTCGACCGACTTCAACTCGACGCACATGCGTCACAGCTACCCATTAGCCAGTTGAACACTCCACCCCCTGTGAAAGCAACACAAGCCACCTGAACATCCACCCTCAACAAATCAACACCCACACCAGTTGAACAACACTTCAAATTGCCCGAAAAACCTACAAAAGCAGCTGCCACCACTGTCTAAAAAACTCTCAGGCATGAGAGGACGCAGTCATCACCAGTCCTGGCTTCGCCAGCGGCCACTGCCACCTGAGAAGACAACCCAAGGTTCTGTGTGCATTTAAGCCCTCATTCTGGTGACTCCTGTCTTTTCCATGCAATCTGGGGTTTGATCTGATGAGCTGTAGCGTTCTGATTACACACCCTCACTGCTTAGACGCTACAGGTCCGAATATTTCGTGGGCCATAGCCATGTAACCAGACGGACTCATAGTAATTGGAGTAAGACAATTTGCCGCAGTCCTCATCCGGCCGTATTAATCGTCCTTCTTTCTGACCGTCATTTCTTCTTCACACTACATAAATCAAAAGGCCTTGACTATTGGTCCGCATTACCTCCATTTATCTACCGGCTTTGAATGAAGTTACGGTCTTATCCCAGACGATGACTCAAGTGTATAAGAACACCTCACCATTCTTACAAGATTCTACAACTTTTCACTGACCTTATACACAACTGTTCATTCCGAACATCGTGGGAGTAAATCAGTCTTTTAGATATTTGCTCGAATTAGCATATTACTTACTACCTCAGTGGACCAACCAGCACAATATAAGGTCAGGGTAAAAAAGCAGCGTCTTTGATGTTTTATCCTTTTATTGGCTAAACCGACTTAAAAAAGAACGCCATGTTATTATACCGATCCGGACGTAAGTTAACAAAACCTTTTCACAAAATTTGCATATGCTTCATGCAAAATCAGAGTGTATTTGCATAATCTGGCCATAAGGAATTGAGCAGAGCAAAATGAGAATGACACACGTTAAGTTTTTTGAATCCAGAGAACCCTTTGTTAGGAAACGAAGAGAAGTAAGTACTTTAGACTGCAGAAAAAGGAGTCAATCACCTTTTGATCTTGACAAGAAAAACGCGTCTACCAAAACCAATGAAGCACGCTTACTAATGGAACGCTCGTAGTAAGGTTTTGTTTCGAAAAATGATGGCCACCTCTACTAACCCGGTTAAAATAACCGACTATAAGCAACGCAGAACGGAATATCGGACGAAAGCTGGTAACTTTACGGGTGATTGGGGATTTAATCGAATCTGCAACAAAGTTTTTTCGGGCCCTCTATGCTCTGACTGACGTAAGCCAACGAGTTAACGTATATGTGGCTGGTCCCGGAAAGTCGAAAATTCGCTGTTTTACATTTTAGGCTTACGTTGGCTACACAGGTCTAACAGGACGACGTAGCTATTAAAAATACTGATACTGTTAGTTGAACCCCATTTTTCGATCTCCGTCCGACTTATGCGAGTCTATGCGCACTTCAGCAATGAGCACTTAGAGACAGAATGTAAAAGTCGTTGATAAAGTGGCTATGCTCCTCGCTTCAGAAAATGAATTCTGTACTTCGTGCGACTAGATCAACACTACGACATAAACTCAGTTGTCGAAAGAGAACGCAAACTAGGGTGGCTGGTAGCCTTGACAGTATTTCCTTGTCCGTCACTGAGCATCGTCTTTTAAACAGTTCTGCATTTATTTCAGAGTTCTAGATTGAAAGATTTTTGTTAAAGCGTGGTTAATTCCGCTGATGCATATTAAAAAAGCCATTTGTGTATCCGTCCACAGCAATAGAATTCATCAAGTGGCGGAAACCATAATGCCTTTCTCATTGCCTCTGTTCTTGCATCTACTCAAACACCACCTGACTAGGAGAACAAAAGACAATGGAGAACCAGATCGTACCCACTTTGCACATGACAGATTGGCAAGCACTGTTCTCAGTGCTACCAAAGGTACGAGTTTCTAGTCGTCAACTCAGAAAGTCCGCTGTAACGTAGAAAGCCCCAACGCATGGCGGTTAAAGTCCACCGTGAATAGTCTCAACGATGACGACCTTCAAACCGCCAGAGCGCAAGTCCTGACTTGGCCCCCTAATGCGTCCGGATTGCAGATGCGCAAAATTAATGCTTTTCGACAACTATGGAATCTGTGCTTTCTTATGGGACCTTCGTAAAATACTAAGTGATCGTGTCCACTTTCCGAAACTACCGTCCTTGCCGAGTGCTCAGAGGAATCCGATTGTCCGATTCTGGCCTAATACCTATCACCTTCACCTCCAATGTAGCGTTGATTATGAAAATTCCATCCGTCGATTTCAACTCACACTAGAATGTACGAAAGACTGGGATGACAAGAACTGCGCTGGCATTAATATTTTCATAGATATGAAGATGACCCCTTAGCTTGGATACTGTGAGTTTGATTACATAAAACCGTAGGTGTCCTTAGTACTCCAGTCGACTGGGAAAACACCTTTAAGAACTACACTGTTAACTGACAGATGGGGATAGAAAAATCTCGAAGACATTGCTTGCTGCAGACAAACTGGTAATACAACGATAACAGACATTTTCAACAAATACCAACAGAAACATTTGGAAAAACAGGAAATTTCGGTGGAGAAAATGTTCAACCCCAACAGAAGGAACAATGCAAAAAGTAAAGTACTGACCTTACTACGCATCTGAGAATACGCATGCCAGTGAAAGCTAATAGCAAGGACAAAACGAAAAATAAAATTGAAATTAATAAGCGTGAAACGCCATATGAAATAAAGTCCGACTAGCATGTGAAATGTCCATTTACGTTGATAAGAGCTTGGTAAAGTTACATCTATCAGAGGAAAAGAGTATTATTTTTAGTGCATGTATTATTTCACTGTTTTTTTACATAGCGCTTGGAATGCAAGACCTCCTGTCGGCATGGACGTCCCAATAAAAACCTTGTTCAGACGTCCGCAAAGATCTCAATGGCTTAAGGCAAACACTCGGAAAGCCAGGCTTTACCAAAATATATAATTACGGACATATTCCGAGAAAATAAAAACAATTTTGCGGCGTATTTTCGAGTCTCCGTCAATATTTTCACACGCCTAAACTGATTTAGTTCGGGTGCTGATAACGTTTATAGAAAATACGGGACGTCATATGAGAGTGGTGATTACCGATTTAGACTGCTTGTCAGTCGGAATACGGACGAAAACGGACAGCATTCTCCCTCCTGTGAGCAGTTAAATCTAATTTCATTTACACCCTCCTTTGTCGCCGGATAAGTGCAGGCTGGCCCATAGAACGACTTAATATTTGAAATAGTAATGAGCATTCTGAAATTTTTCCTTGATCCTTCTTTCAGTTTTTGAAGTTTTTGTCTACTGTACAACAAATAAAAATCGCTGCACTTTTTAGCAAGTGCAAGAACATAGAATAAGTACTGCTCAGCACTTTAGAAGGCAACATCAAATCATCCCATTGCTAAATGATGGTATTTGGTATAAGAGGCATGCGTGCAATTTATTTCATACACGCTACTGAAATTCAGTAACTAACACGTATTTAGTTTGTCACATTTCGGAAATACCAAAGTATTGCCTTGAGCGTTTTCTGATATTTCTCATATGGTTAACCGAAGCCACCAGTAAGACCACTTGTGATGACACGAGAACTTAGGAAGAAGTGTTAATGGGTTAAACTGCCCTTGCACAAAATAAATCTAGGTCAGTAAGTTAAAGTAAACATGAAGGCGCTCATTCAACGACGGTGATTATTTTTGAATCGGTAAGTTGTCCTTGATAGATGCCGGTAGTCAACGCGGGGTGCATATTATCTACGGTATTTCCTTTTATGTTTGCCCGTCACTGACGTTTTTGCACCATGAAGATTCGAACAGCCCTGATCAACTTGTTTATTTTCTTTTGAGTCTCATGTAACTAATACATGTTTTTCATCAGCACAATATGACATTTCTAGGACGTAGTCACTGGAAATGTGATTCTGGCATTTTATTCTGGTTATGTTTTCCCCACAGTGCTTTATAACAGTAATACTATTACGGGGTTGTCTCAGTACAGTTTCAAATCTTTCAAGGATTTATGTTGGAGAAGGAGCTGAGGAAGCACTTACGTGAATTAATAACTGAGACCGTTTCGTTCTTCATTCAATGTTTGGGTTTATATTGACTTGGCGTCACCGAAGGGAAAAGCATACGCCTAAAGCCAGCGGTCTATGCCAGTCTCTTTTAAAACGCGTGCATCAGTGTACAGAAAGGCACAGGAACATAGGCAAAATTTCGGCTTTCTTTATGTTTATCCAACCGGCCGACCAGTGTACGTAAACAGTTGGAACATAAGCACGTGAATAGCAGATGACTGTAGAGCAAGAAGGTCACAACTTCGGGGTATACAAGACTGCCGTCTTACGAATATGTGCCAGCTATTGATTTTGCGCTATCTCTCGTCTAATAATCCTGCTTGTTACGCAGATAGTTTAATCTCCATGTAAAAACTTATAATTGTGCATGTTATGGGGTTCAAGACTGTAGTTGGACAACTGTGGGAGAACGTTTGGCTGAACATCTGTGCCGCCAGCTCAAAGCGAGTGCTGTCTAAATTGTCTAGTTCGGGCAGGCTGAGGCAATTCAACAAAAACTGATTAACCAGGTCAAGTGCTCGCGCTTTCTCCCAGTGGTGAGCGATTAAGGACTAGCTAAAAATTTGCTGAAATCTTGATAAGGGTGGTTTTTCTGTGGATAAAAAAGGCAAATTAAATGCAGCAGTTCTCACAGAAAGTTTTATTTGAAAATCCTTAATGCATACTTATATATTCATTAAAATTTCGCTTTACCCTCTCAGATGACCATTGTGAACAGCACCCCGCGCTGTATTGCTCCGCGCCGTTTGCAAACCGAAGTATAAAACCTATTGTAAATTTGCCTATTTCCAATATAAGATCCTCGATCATTTTTTTGTTTTTTAATATTAAAACGTTGCGCAAGTTAGGGATCCGTTTTTGAATTTCTTCTGACAAAGTCGACCATTCTGTCAAAATTTACACTCATATGGGACTTTCCTGCAGATCTATCGAACCTATTAGAATCGAAAAGATCGAGGGCGCGATGCCATTTCAGACAAATAGTTGAAGGAAGAAAACACGTTCCCTCACTTTTGGTTATCCAGATCCTTAAGCACTCTGGTGGATACCTGGATCAGGTAAGTTCTGTGATGTTTTCTAATTTCTTCAGTTAATTTGCAACGCACTGTCAACATGTTTTTCTGTTTGGACACCCTGAACACTTGCGTAAAATCTAAACCCTTCCCACTAAACAGAAAATTTAACGCTATGCTGAAAACTCCCGTTGGCTCCAGTTTGGCGAAAGAGCCGACGCCTCTGGTCCGGTGAAAGTGGTCGCTTGTGACAGAAGTCGTACCGAAAATTTCTTCCTCACCACCTGCACTGCGAGTCGTGTATAACTGGATGACGAATGAGATGAAATACCTGCGAGTCCAGTTAGGTTTTGAGCCTAACGCTAATGAGGATACTCAAGGCAGCGAGCGACCTACGATCAATGCCTAATGCATATACGAAGCCAAGTATTTGAAAACAGCCATTATTCGACTGCCGGAAAGCATTATAATGATTTAATCTCTGTAGGAACTATTGTTTCGACCAAGTGGTAATTTAATTTCAAGCCTCTGATGAATGTCTGCACACAATGAATTATCACTGGTCGTCTGATGTTTCTTAATTTTGCAAATTATTATCTAAAAGTACAGAGAATTTTAGTTTTGCCACGTTGTCAATTCTAGTGCGCATAAGTTTATCCAATAATTAGGGGAAAATGAGCGGGAATACTGGGCCTGAGGAGAGAAAATCTACATCGATTCACGAAAAAACGCCTCCAAGTCCCTCAAATCTAAGTTTTTTTTAAATAGACAGTATATTTCCTTAAAAAGTGGAGTTTTAATTAACGCTGTGACTTAGAAAAGACCTTGAAATTCAATCGTCTTTCTGGCCGGTTTGCAAAAAATGGGTAAACTTTACGCAAGGACTGACAGCTAGCGAAATATGAACCCCAGGTTTAGCATTGTTTTTTAAGTAGCGCTGGCTTTCAGAATTGAATAGATTCCTTAGAATAGTTCGCAATTTTTGCACTGACGAAAATGTGCATGCTTGAAGACCAGCTAGATCACCCGAGTCCATGCGTCAGGTAGACTGGCGCTAGTCGCAGGTTTGCGAACAACATTTCACAATGCTAATGTCAAATCAAGCTTAAAGGCGAGAATTTTAGCCACTGCTAGTCGAAGAAACGCCAGTTATGAGATGCAAACGCGTATGCCCCACAGTGAATTTAAAGGATAAATTTTGGCCCTTCATATACGAGATTCACTGGCCTTAGGTCCTTCCATCTGGAACTGAAATCCGTGGCTGCTAAGATTCGCATTCAATTGTAAGTCAACATTACTTTGCCCCATGAAGGATCACGCTAATGTGAATTTGGGACTTCTCAATGACTAAATGGTAAAAATTCAACTCAAGCGTTGCTCGACCAGCTGGAAGCGAATTAACCCTTTTTGTCCTGTGCTAGGTTTCGGTGTAAGGGCAGTTCATAAGGCCAAGAAAGTCGGTACTGATCAGTTCAGTTTATACTGTTTTCGGTGGCGTTCATCTTATACTGTTGTGCGCACTTCTGTCTGTTACGACGTTTTATGCATAGCACAAATAATGTATATATACGCACTCTTCGTGGACCAGACCGGGAAAAGTCAAAAATATTTATGTGAAGCCACATTCTTAAACAGTTTATATCTGAAGTGTGCTTACGTAAAGGCTCCCGAAAGTCAGAAATTGGCTGAAAACGACGTAAAATGCTCTCAGCGTGATAAAATAATTATCGAAAAGTGTTTGTTGAAAGATGCTTCGTCATCTCTAAAGGAGAACTGCCTCGCATCGCTGTCAGAATGATTCCGCTAAAAAACGATGATGGCAGTGAGGAAATCGACTAAATAAATTAACGTTACCCCTTGAAAGCTCATGTGTTTACATTAGGATATTTAAATAAAGCGCGAAGTCGGGATCATAAAATGTACTCATGTGCGGTTGTGCTGCATACATTTGCAGTGACCTGGTGAGTAAAAACATATGTTCTTCTGGATAAATTCCTGGGTATACGAACCGGTAAAAAGCCAACATATCTAATGTCTGTAAGATGCCCTTTCAGACAAAAATAATTGTCCAGAAATGCAGTATTTATAAATCATTTGGGAATACTTTAAAATAGTAGTACCTGACATGCGATAAAATGATAAAAACAACAAAAAATGCATACAGTAGGTGACCTAAGATGTGGACAGTGCCTAAATTTGCGAATGACTGCTAGTCACTCGCAACCGGAAACAAATGCATGAAGCCAATATCTAGATTAATAGACAACAACCATAAGACAAATAAAAACATAAAAATATCAAATGTAATGTTTCTTCATTTAGAATTGCCATTTTTTTAAAAAAGCGACGAATTACCAAAACCCCAGAAGCGGTCTTGATTTTATAAACTTCTGTTTTATTTATACAGGAAGACCGTGCAATGAAATGGACTGAGTAAATATGAAAGTAAAAATAAGATTACGTTTAACAGTTGTCTTTGAGTGGTGTTAGCATTTGAAACACCTCTACGAATTAGTTTAACGTCAGATACGACGATTCGTCAACAGACTACATTCTAAATGCAGACTTCAAGACGGTTTTCAGGGAATTCATCGTATTTTTTTAAGCTTTTGCATTGATTAAAATGCGGTTTGATAAGCTAAACAGGAAATACCATTGATTTCGTTGATAAGGTCGTCATAAGTGTAAACGCTTCCAAAAGACACACTGCCAGGCCGGTCAGCGAGTATTAAATTCAAATGAAATTGGCAGGTATAATCGCAAAAATATCATTTTGTGTATATAAGGAGGACCTTTCTTCCGTGAAATGAATGTGTACTTTTCCTATGTTCCCGATCACGTCCAATCACAGATCGACCTTGAAATACCGCTGAATACTCCATGCTCTGCACTGTTTTAAATCGATCGCCCATACAAGTAGATTCTTCATTACATGCTGATTAAAGCCTCCCAAATAAAACGCTTCTTGAAGGAATTTGTCGAGGTAATGAGTATTTGAGCGTTTTTTACGCAAATGGTCGCTTGAATTGCATTTAAAGACTCATCCAAACATGAGACGTCTACAGCAAAAATCAAAACAAATAAACTTCCGATCAATTAGACAATGTTCTCTAATTAGTCGCCTTTAAAGTGCGCCCCCTAGAACACGAGAATATGAACCCCTCCGCGTATTAGAGATGGTCTTCAATCAGTAACAATAAACAGGGTTTTTCGTTAGAGAGAGCCTTAGGGTCAGGGTTACGGTTAGAGTTTGGGGGTTAGCGTCAGAGTTACGGCAAATAGGGTTAGATTCAGGGTAAAGGCCAAAACTAGGACACGAGACTTTTTGCCCTCTGGGATTGGATACGTAGCCACAAGTTGTACGGGGGTCCTTATTCACATGTTCGACCGGGGGTCCTTTTAGGGAGTTAATACCACAACTTGCGTATCGGGAAGCAGTGACTGCATTATAAAACTTTGGCGGGCGTACTCACTGACATTTTAACAAAATAAGAATTAAATTGGTGAGACACATTATCAGGGACTTTGATCTAAAAGCAAGTCCAGCACGTCAGACTGATGGTCATTGTTTGAGAATCTTGCCAAATACATCCGCCTAAGCCACAAATGGAAAGTGAATCATCGTTTAAACGCCTAATATTACTGTTACAGTAAGTAACTTATCGCTTGAAACCTGGTGACGAAAGCTGATGTGAGAATTTTCGGATGGCCTAGACGTTGCGAATTTGGCTTTCTCATCCAGCCTCTTCACGAGGATGTTCTTTCCTTATGCAGAGCTTGTTTTTATGTAAGTCTGTTAAGCACAATTTTCAATAATTTGGGCGGAAATGGACGTTGTCATAAACTCGAGCAACTTTCCGTACTAATACCAGTCCTAGAGTTCGGTGGCGCATTCAAGTGTTTCTTCACTAGAAGGAAAGTAAATTACTCTCAAAAAGTTTACTAAACAGGGCGCTGTGGACATCCATTTTATTCGACATAATATTGAATCTGCCTGCATGGGTGATCGGGTGAAAATATTGAAAATCATGGTGTTCGGCAATATTTCAAGGCCGGTCTGAAACTCAACGTAATCTAGAACAAACGAAATTGCAACTTAACTGAACGGAATAAAGGTTCTCTTTATAAATATAAAATAGTATTAGTGCAACTAAATTTTCCGAAGAGTCTTCGCTTCTTCATTATACCACCCTGGAATGCATACCACGTCAGTTATTAAACAAAATGATATATTTACGATTACGCCTGTCAGCTCCATTTGATTTTGTTAGTCACCGACCGGCCTGGCAGCGTATGATCTTATGAAAACATTTGTTCCTATGGCTTCCTTATTGGTGAAATCCTGTTTTTCTTATTAGACCGCATCTCAATCATCTTAAGAGCCAAGAATACCATGAATCCTTGGAAAACTGCTTTGGAATTGATGTTCATACTGTAGGCTATTGCTAAACCGGCAAACCTCAAATTACACTAATTTTTAAAGCTTATGTAGCTGCAAACTCCACTAAAACACTGTTTGTAAACGTTATGCGATTTGTGGTTTCCTTTTTACTTTGTTTTTTTGGATGAGGGAATATTCTGTATATCTAAAAACAAAACCTTCTAAATTATAACCATTTCTGACGTCTTCGGGACGTTGCACTTTTCTAAATTATTGGTACTTCAAAGCAACGCCACACTGTCTGTAATATTTTTGTTTTCATATCTTTTATAGTTATACTTAATTAAAATAGGTATAAGATCTATGCATGGATGTCGGCTTGAAAGTGGTAAGTAGTCACTTGTAAAGTTCGACACCTTTCATGAGTTAGGTAGCGCAGTGTATATGCCTATTTAAATAATGAAGATTTTCTCCCCTTCTAAATTTGCAGAATTATTACTTGCCCGCCAATTTTACTGTGCGATGTTTGTTTTTCTATGCCGTAAACTAAGTGAAATTTCTAAGAATTATTTGTCAGCCTTTTAGGGAAACTATCGAACATATATGAAAGTCCAATTTAATTTTTAACCTTGTTGCTTATCATCAAAATGTGAGAAATTTAACCTTAATTGCCGAAGACCTTTGGTGCAAACATTAGACAGCATCGAAAAACGAAAAGCATGAAATTACATGTATTATTTGGCGCTTACAGGAGAAAATGATAATGCGTTTCCTTGCTCTCATCGAGATTTTACAAACTTTAAGCCAGAAAAATGAATTGAAGCAAAATAATTCATAATTATATTCAAAGTCGTTTGAGAAATGGAAGTCTGTTTACGAGCAAATGACGTATACAACATTCACACTTGTGTGGGATGCAGCTGAAAATCAACTGTAACCTTTGAAGTGTCTCATATATTTCAATTATGAGGGTTTATTTTTCCATTTCTTGGCATCAAACTACGCAAAAAATCCTACTCCATACTTTTTATTAGACTTTTTAAGAAACAAAATAAATTTAGTTGGAGAGTAATGAAGCCTCCCATGGCTTTGATGTTATCCATCTTTTAAGAACGTTTTGTTTGGAGTTATTTTTCCCACTCTTCGAAATATGACGGCTTATTGGGAAAAACAGGACTCAAACGAATATCAAAAGTGGTTGAAAGCGTTAGCGTCGTCTATTCCATCACTATTTAAACATAAACAACTTTTATGTGCCCACATACAGGGCTCATCTGTTTATACCTTGACATTTTGGATTAAGGGAGAAAAAAAAATTAGTCAAGAACAACTCAGGCAAAGATACTCGAAACTATTTGTAGCTTCTATCGGAAGCCAGTTAAGTCTGAAATTGATCTAACCTGTGAATAAGTTAACTTCTTATGAATATAGAATATGCATGAGATTTGTCTTACCATGTGAAGATATCTTAACCTATGAGGGCTGCGGGGCTTCAACACTGCGAACAAGAGGAGAATAACCTTGGTAATACGACTGATGGAAACAAAGTCAAGGACTGCTCTGTTTTGAATAAAACAGTATCTGCACTGCAAGTACGTCGCACGCCCTTATGAGTAAAGACGCCAAGTATATTAGAGGACGGATCACGATTTGGTAAATCCGCTGGAATCTTAATATACATTTAAGCTCTACACCAAATAAACGAAATTTAGACACGTGCGGATTAATTCAAGGAGGAGAGATTAGGTTCTTGAACGAATGGTAAAAGAGGGAGTTCACCCTAAAAGGTAGGATGATTGTCCTAAAGTAAAGAGTTCTGTCTTGCATCATACGAGGGAAACAGCCATATAAACGAAGCCAATGAATTACCATTCACTCATATTTTCGTATTTATTGACTGGATTTTGGCAGTAACACTATGGTAAATCTTACTGAGTCACATTTTCCAATAATGACCACATTGTTTCAATGACTGGTCGATCTCTCTGGTTGGACGTCATTCTTCAGGTTAAAGCTCTGGCTAATCGGTGACCCCAAATAAGTCAAGAATCCGTTTGCTCATAATATTATATGGTATTCCTTAGTATAAGCTTATTTTTGATCAACTTTACCCTTTAAGTCAGAGGTAAATAGAGATAAGTTTTCCTTCACATATCCGTTCGGTGACCTGTAACCGCAAATTGTCTTATTAATTCTTAATAGTAAATAAACTTACTGAAGGATCTTTAAAGTGCACACGTGAAGCCCTGCAATTTACACTGGGACCTTTGGAAAGTTCTTGTTGGCCTTTTTACTACACTCGACCTTAAAACTAATATGTTTGCTGGCTGAGACTTAAAAGTGCAGACAAATGACGTGAAAGGCCTCTATTCCAAGAGTTCCTTCTTCTGTTGGAGACTGAAATCCAAGAGAATCCCACTCCCTAATGCAAATCAGCCACAAGAGGTCTTTCTAAAATTATCTATCCCATATCAGATGGAATCCATGTTGACTTTAAGCAGCCTAAGCTTATCACCGATATCAGAGAAGGATGATAAGAGCGTTAAATTTGAACTACGAATCTCAGCAGGAATGACTAATGTAAAAATGTCCAGGATACTCCTTGAATCATGGAATAATCGAGCAATCCATAACTTTTGTCTACAGTCAGTGACCAATCACAGCAAATGTTGACTGAAACGCTGAAATGCGTTTTAGTGTAGGAAGAATTAGTAAAGCGGGGTAAAAATATGGATTAGCTCACAGCGTAGCCCCAATATATTTCGCTCACACCAGGATGCCGACTTTAAAAACGCCCTCATTTGGCCGCCTAAAAAAACGACATATTTGTATTGGTTTTTGATGCCTTTATCAATTCAGATTTATTTCAACGAAAGCAGTCAAAACATGCCTTTTACTCATCTAGTAGAAAAACAAAACTCTTTTTAATTTCAGGTCCGAATATAGGCTATCTTCCGGTTTTAAATGACTTGTTATAATGAAGTTTTTAAGAGCGTAAACCATATATTCAAATAGCATCATATATATCCGTTTGTCAAGGCTGCTTACGTAATAAGAAACAGCCCAAATCCCTTGTATACTTTTACGAGTCTTATAAGATAGCGCCTTATACAAGAGTATGAGTGATTTTCCTTGCACAAGAAAAATACACCATGCATCTCCAAAATGCTAAGCGGAAGTGCAATGGCAAATACGGTTCAGAATTTTCGAGGATGAAAAATATTTTAAAACCTACCCACACCTTTCCAACGAATTAAATTTGAAGATTATGTGGTTTTCTAACAAACGTGTGAGAGAAGGCATATTTTATGCATGGTTTCTTTAAAATATACATGAATTCACAAGGGTATCGAAAATCAATGAAAAAACGTCGTACCACTTAAGTGGTCATAATTAGCCAACGCGGACTTTGCAGGAGCGGCTGAAAGAAGAGCATTAAAAGGCCGGCAGCCTGGCGTGGCAGGAGACGGTGCTGCACGATGATCAGTATTACAAATGCACTTAAGTCACCCTTCCAAATCGAAAACGCATTTCAGAATTTTGGCCAAAATTTCATGAGATCAGTTACTGACGGAAATTTAGTCTAAGTATTTCAAAGGTAACCTTGTGTATTTCATTTCTTGTCCGTATGACAGTTCGTTGGTGACGTCGAATCCGCAATAACTTAGGGAGGTCTGTGCTGAAATTATTTAAAGTTTAATGCATTATCATGCAAAGATATAAGTTACCAATTTATGCAGCACTTTAATTTAGAAGGAAATGTTGTTTGAACATAAAGTCGGTTTTAAAAAGGACTGGGCATATATGTGAGATTCAGACAAAATTCCCTTAAATCCGGCGTTCCGGAGCGCAAAAAGCTAAGTCCTCCAAGCGTTTGCTCTTATCAAAGTTTAAGCCAGATCGGGTCAAGAAAGGAGCTTTGAAATTTCGCAAGAGAAACATTGCTAGCACTAGGAGAATTTTTCTATACACGTGGACAAAATGTTCTTCGAAAAGCGCAGTGGTAAGATAGGAAAGCGCACGGCCAAACTTTGAGGAGAAAAAGTGTCACTGCGGTATGCGGCGCCCGCTTGCTCTACAGGGATTTTGGGTTGGAGGCCTCAGATTGAGTTCTCAGTAGTACACATATAGTCAAAAACAGAAACTGAATAATCACTCCAGTTTGAGGTTCAAAGTGACAAGTTTACGATATGGTAAGCATGCTATCCAATGTGCTAAAAAACTAGAAGTGATCGATTAATGATCGATTTGAGAACCTTTGTTATTAGAGAGGGGTGCACCTCACCGAAATGCCAGGCCGGTACATACAAACATCCTGCCTTCTGTGTGTAATGGCATACATATATAACCGTATGTCATTTCCAAAATTAAAATTCGGCAGGGAGATTGCTCTTCTGGACTAAATGGACAACGATAATGCGAACGTAGCCTTTCAAAAACATACAATAAACGTAGTTAAGAAGAATATTCTTTAAGAATAACACTCATTCACACAACTCTGCAAAGAAATCTGTCGACGGCAAGATATTCTAAGTTATCCTAGTAAGAGCTATTTACCTCACAGTTCTGCGCGGCCACCGAGGGGATAGCAATACGACTAGGTATTAGCATCATGTTTGTGAGTCAAAAGAGACAAGCTGCCTTACTGCGTATAATAACCTCTCCCTTTCTGAAGACCGTAGTCAACAGGACCTATCAATGAATAAATCTAATCCCAACTCAGTGCAACCCTGACTGGAATAAACTGAAAAAGCTGGAAAACTCAACGGATTGCATTGTGTACAGTGTGAACACTAAAATGACAAAAAAGAAAGGCAAGTCTGTGCACAGTTCTCATTGTTTGGCGCATATCGCCTAGTAGGTGAGCTGTTAAAGCCGCCTGTGTTACGGATTAGGACTCTCGCTTTACCGTTAGCCGTATCGGTACCGCACTCATTTACCGGAACAATAATTGGCGGCCCCGATTGTTTCGTACATTCCTCGTCACCTACCACAGAGATTCGTAAAATCCGTCGTCGGTGGGTTTCATTTTTTGCGGCTGCACCGAAGTCGACGAACAACGGCCGACTTCTCTCATTTAGAACTGAAGTCATTTGGCCGCATAACATGCCGACGGACCGTTGAGTTAGACATACAACTCTTACTCCGAGAAGCAGGCGGAATCTAACCACGGTCTAGGTGACCCCCCTTTGTGCACGGAATGCTCCTCCGTACTTTCAGTAGCCCGCCCTCATCATTCCGCTTCCTTCGCGCCCCTTGATTTCTTCAAACCACCGCTTATGGACAATCATTGGCTAAAATGATCTCCCTAAAAAGCATAATCTCGTCTTATTCGACGACTGGCAATGAGTTTCTATTCACTGGAGTAGCGCGCCCACACAGCTCCATTTGTGTTGTAGCGGGTGGCTACTGTTGTAACTGAGCATTTGCAGCGTGTTCGTCTGTTTTATGCAGAATGTCATTTTATCGGTTGGTCGTCCGTCTAGAGGGAGACTGGAACATCTAAGAACGGGAGTCTATCCTCACCTCGTCCTCTATGTAGAACTGTAGATCGGGGATGATCTATTTCGGTTTTCCTTAATATTACTCAATATTATTCCTATTGGTGAGATAGTTTGTTTACAATTCGGGTTTGTACTCCCCGGGCCACCGTCCATCAAGTTTTTGGCGAACAGCCGCAGTTGATGAACAGGCATTTATGCTCAATATTCGCTCGTATGTGATCCTCCCGCAAGTAAAGGATATTTTTAGGCAATGTTACTTGAGCCCCATGAGATACTGAGCTATAAACTAGCTATCGCTCTCTTCGTTATTTGGATAAAACAGGCCACGGAGTGTCTCGATCGCCTGGGCCGGTAATGTAGACGTGAAGAGTCAGATGACATCAAATGACACCATCCTCTCATTCGGTTCGAATGTTATCGCTGTTGGTTTATCTGAGAAATGCTCTGCCTAGTGCATCGTTTTTCTGAGACCGTGGCTGGGCTCCCAGCTTCAGTAACGACCAGTGTTTAAACTCTATATGAGCGTGCCGCAAAATATGAGGATTGACCTTCGGACAAATCTGGCCTGTGTAGTTTACGAGATCTTTGAATAAAGATGTATACTAGTCTATGGTGATAGTGATGATGACCCTATTCTTCCTTAGTCGAGCCAGAATTTTGTTCGTACTTGTCTGCAGGGACCTCTGCCGGACGATTTCGTTGACTTTATAGGCGATCTAGGTCGTCCGGCAGTACCGGGGCCTTGTCCCAGCAATCTGCCTGGTCCGAGAAAGCGATTGACCGTCCTTTGTCAGCAGCCGGGATAAATATTTCGGCGTCGGTTCCAATTGTTTAAGTACCCTTTGTTTGTCATTTTGTGATGAATAGGTTTTTCAGTGCCAGATGGGCAGCAAGGGGCTTTGATATCGCAAGATGTCTTTTGGCTCGTATATGCCGACGGTTTGGTGCCGCGTCGCCTCGATGAAAACAATGAAGGCGGCCGGATCATAGTCGATTGTGTTAAAATCACACCGTCGTTACAGAACTATTGTTTGAGCCTCGATAAGACGATCTGATGTGTGCTAGCGTTTGCTGAGTTACTCGGGCTTGCGGGTTCTGCATACGCCTAGTCGAAATGTCCACTCGCAAAGCGTCTCTTGGTGAACTGCCCCTCTTATTTTAACATGCCGGTTGAGAATCGCATCTTTACTACTTCTGAAGTTAAGGTTTTTCTGTATAAATCCTTAGTATATGCGCTGGATAAGCACGAATGAGGTTATCGGAGTCGTGTGCTTGCAGACTAATATGCTTTAAAAATTACGGGAACAAAGGGAATACAAAAAGTATTTTGAAGAAATTGTCGATTGTTCTCGCAGGCGAAATATGTTTCCTTTTTGGAAGGATGCAAATACTTTGAAGTTTTCTCTATGATTTATGCAGTTCAAGAAAAAATTGTGCAAAACTTCTTAAACAAAATTTTTTAATTTCCTCAGAAAGTAATAGCTAAATTGGAGTATATGAGTCTATTTGTGACTTCTACTCTCAGACTGAATTGTGATAGGGATATTTGGATCGAAGTCATGCAGCCACTGCGGAATAACCGCGTAGTATTCGTAAATTGCCAACAGACAGCCGGTAGTAGATACTGAGATAGTGGGGTGTACCATACTTGACAACTAGTACCTATGCTGTCAAGTATGTTACAGCGTGCTATGCCAATTTTTAAAAGGTTTCAGATGTGAACTGCAAATAACGATTATAATTGGGCTTGTCAGCCCTTTCCACATATGCCTTGTAGATGAGGTCCTGAACGACACCTACGCATATTCTGGGAAGAGAATTAGTTAGATTTCGGAAGTTTATGATCGCATTTAACAAACCATTGTATTATTAAATTTCAGTTCGATTATCGGGGGCCACAAGTTGGTGGCTAGACATTGGCTTCCACATGAACTGGTTTATAGCGGAGAGGGCTTGCGCAGTGTCCATTGCACTCTCCCCCTCACCCATCTGATTCTGATTATGGGTAAATGTCAAAACGACCGAAGAGGGCTTCGGCTACGGTAGTTGATAAATTTAAGCAACCGATTGAAGCATGAAAGGCCAAGTCTTGTCTATGTTTGTGTCCCGACCCGTCCAAATAGATATTCTTGTAAACTGTTGGTTTTAACTCTTTTAACTTATTGAGCGGTTCGAACAAACCGCCATTACGGAAACTGTCCTATTTAAGAAGTTGAACGGAGAAAAACAAAGAACTACGGGTTTTGGCACGTGGTGCCTCTGTTGGCCGACAGTTGTTGACGCAGCTTCTTAAACTGATTAAAATGAAAACTGAGGTGCGCTCTTATTTTGGAAGTACCAGTCTAGTGCTTTCCACAAAAAGGCCTCTATTCACAGTAGATAAAAATAAATAGGCCAAACAGATAACAACAGAGGATCACAAGCGATATTTAATGACCGAGAACTGCTACTGTCGACACCACGAGGAACAACTGAGGAAGGAGTTAAAAAGCTTGGGTCAGATTTTACTTCCTTCAAAATATTGATGGCGTGTTGTGCAGACGACCTCATTATTTTAAATCAGATAAGCAAAGAGGAAAAAATTTCAGTATATGTTGAGTTCAGTAGGCCTACAGATGCACATATAGCAAAATTCCCATGTGAATGAATAACAGAGAAATGGCGGCTCACTTTCAAGAACCCGCACTGACAACTTTTGAAATGGGTAAAATAATAAACCAAGATACTAGTCTACCCTCCTCTGAACGGTCTGCAACCAGGAACATTTTAATAAAACTGTGTTCTCGTTTTGCTGAGGAACATTGGCATCATACGTCTAGGGTGAGATCAGTGGCTGCAGGCAAGAACCACAAAATAAACCCTTCTAAAGGTTGGTAATCCAAGTATTTGATCCTACCAAAGACGCTTACACCTTGCTTTACTCATTGCGATACAGGCAAGTGTCAACTTATCGGAACTAAAATCTATGTAAATGAAAAAAGAAAATATAAGGCCAGTACGTACGGCATGGAAGACTGAATGAAACAAACTCGATGACTTGCATGATAACTTTTCCGACAGCAGTAATTGCTTAAATGTCAACAGTGTTGCTTCTTTGTGCGACAATCACTGTCCATCGGACAACAACAACAATCTGTTTAAGATTTATCATTCCAAACTCTAAGTGCTTAAAAAATATTGAGCAGTAACCCCAAAAAACGGTTTAATCGTATGGGGCCTGATGCAAAACGTTAAAAAATGGATTTTAGTTGCCTGATATCTGCTGTTAGACTAAAAGCTCTTGACGATCCGCGCCTGCCTTTTGTTAAATCAGACGTGATTGCGTGCGTGGATTAATAAAACACAACATCAGTAAGCCATTACCGTGTTTCCAACCCAAAGATCGAGCTCGCAGATCTTTTTTCCGATTCCCAATGCATGTATCTTCCAAAATTTTCCATTTTGTTACTGCTATTATTTTTCGCATTATTTAACAGTTGGCATCACCAATGACACTTAAATTTAGGGCCGAAGGTCACATCATGCCTACTTGTGGGTGGTGGAAAATCAGCGCAGCACTTCAGGTCCTCGAACAGCTTTTTTTCTCTTGTTAAAGGCTCCCTGTCACACAGGGTGTCTTCGGTTAACAGCTATACGCCCAAACTAAGTTTTGTTGATTCACGAGCTTTTGACCTAACGATATGCTCACTCCACTCTTTTATTCTGAACATATTAGTCACATAAAAATACGGACATACTCTTTTGTTTGATTCGATATTGTTCCCCGAGTCTCCAGATATGCGACATAACGTGTCTTTATTATCTTTTGATGCGATATTGATATTTCTTTTTATAACAAAACGAATCTTAAATTCTCCTGTCGTCTCTGCCACTGCCTTGCTCCTAAGCATCCAAGCAACCCTGTTGGCTAAAAAATGGATTCGATAAGTCACAGCGCATAAAAGAGATACTGTAAATTTTCAGTATTACACGGGATTGTTGTTTGCTGACCCATCCTGACCGTAATAAGTAAGAATTATAACGGCTGCAGTGGATGGAACCAGGTATAAAAATCTCTCATTTGGTCATTTGGTCGAGGGCAATCAATAAATGAGGACGATTATACAAAAGAGAGTGGACATAGGACTGGCCATTTCTGACCAATTTCACGTAATCAACCAGTCATATGTCATTCTTATCTTTGCGGTTTACGGCTTTAGTGTAACCGGCTATTGAAGACAAGTAAGTTGGAAATAGTCGCTTCTGTCCTCATCACCCTTGTTGGAAATTTTGACAGATTACTGATTGCTCATCAATCTATGACCTTATGGCGGGGGCTTTATGCTCTAAGCTCCTTGACAAAACTGCCCACTTTCGTCCTATGGTCAGGACGAACCAGGACACTTGTTTCGCAACAGACCATGTGCATTTAAAATGTCAGGTGGCAGCACATGGATTCAAACCACAAGTATTAGTGCAATTAAATTAAATGTTCAGTGACTGGATGACTCGGTTTCTAAAGAATCTCCGTTCAGCACTTTAGTTTAGTGTATAACCGGATAATAAAAGTAGACATCCTAGAAACGCCTGTTTCAATTTTTGTTGACCTTAAATCCCTTCGGTGTAAAGTCCTTTCCTAAATAAATGCATTGGCGTCGGCATACTAGAGCGGCTACGAAAAACATAAGCACGACAGTCCAGGTATATGGCCTTAAATGCTCTGTGTCAGTCGTCAATTCAACTGCGAGATAAAGACAGTATTTATACACGCCGGAGTCGAATGTGCATGACCTGATGCGTGTATCAGGTTCTAACATTGCGATGAAAACCTACTTGTTTTCCGCGTAGCTTAATGACACAAAGTTTGCGTATATGTAGGCAAATCACTTTAACCAAATTCAGATTGTTAAAACCGAAGCGTTGCCATTACCTATCAACACATAATATTGGGAAATGTCCAGAAACCTGTAGAGCGTGCGCAATTACAACCATCGTGGACTGATATAATTGCCATCTCTTCTAATGGACCTAAAATGGTTATAATAAAGTCTGCTTAGTAATTTTATGAACAGTTGTCTACAGACAGTATTTGGCAGGGACAAGTTTTTCTTTTTTAGATGCATTAAAAGGAGGGTTTTAGCTAAAAGGAAACAATTACAGGCGGGAACCATCTCTTCCGTGCCCGAAAAACATGCAGACGGCCGTTATCGGAGGCGGTATTGCCCCACACTGGTACGTCAGAGACCCAGGTTCCAGGAAGAAGGGGACGGGTATCTCCCCTGTGACTTTTCACCTTTCGCGTCTCTTGACCGTAAATCTAAACCCTGTAAAGATTGTAGTCGCCCGGAAGATACATTAGCGCCACACACGAGATGATATCTTGTTTAAAAATATGCTAGCGCAGGAATGAGCAAGCATAATTGTATGTGTGACTTTCAGTTCCACATTTCCCTAGAACCGCATCGTTATAGCCTACTGAGCGAAGCGTTGGCAGCTGAATTAATCCTAACAGCAACAAATAAAACACGCGGAGGAAGAAGGGACAGAAATGCAAAAATAAAGTAAATACGAAGACTAGATATTCTGTGTTAGATGGGTTAATAACATCAGTATCCCCCAAGTGGACTTAAAACTGAAAAAAAGTAGGGTTGGATTAGAAGAGAATGCGATGAGTGTCGGGAAGACTACGAAGAAAGAATAGGGGGCGCTGAAAGGAGACTACAGAAAAGGGAGAAAAAAGACCACCTAGGAAAACGATATAGGCTATAAAAATAATATCAAAAAGAAGATACCGAGACGAAAAAGTAATGCATTAGAAAAGTTGTCTTTAAAATGCACTCACCTGGCAAACGAAGAAGACTACAATGACACCAATCAGCATCACGTCGGTCTCCTGCTGTCTGGTTTTTACTCCATGTTCAAAGCGCATTCGCCTGATGGAGCTGTTAATCTCCCGCACCAGAAAGACATTAAGAACGGCAATTATGACTGAAGGAATGCCGATGACCAGTATGCACCAGGACCAGAGATGATAGCCGTTTCGGAAACTTTTGGACTGACCCAATGCAGATAGTACATACCAGGAAATGTTGGTTTGCTCTCCGCCAGCGACAACACTCGCACCTATCCCGAAACCGCCACCGGTAGATAGGGGAGATAGGACAGTTATGTCCACAAATTTGTACTCCAAAAAGCGGGGGACCGTATAGAGGAGACTGGCGAATAGGATGCAAGCAATGATAAGTTTGCTGAGTGCAATTGTGCAGAACCGTTTTGCTATGAACGGGTGGCAGATCATCAAATACCGGTCGATTGTGAAAGCAGCGGTCAGCCAGTTTGAACAGACCTGCAAACAAAATTTAAAATAATATTGGAATTTTCGCAAACGAGCAGCTCAGTTCAACAATGCGCAGGTTTTATGCGAGAAAGTCCTACAAGCGTAATCCATTAACGACGTTATTTATTTTGATATCCCCAAAACTTTCAATAAAGGTTGATTCAAATGGCATCAGTCCAGTCGTATACATGATAAGGATTCAGAATCATTTTCTAAATAACCCAGTATAATATTCCGTCCAACAGGTAAAGTGAAATGAGAAAACACACACAGACGAAATCCAATTAAAAAACGAATCACAATTGCCTCCAGCCAATTTTGGGTGAATGTGCACTGCGAACACCAATGACGTTCAGGGTGAATATCCGACAGTCTGATCGTCGTTTCCGACGATGTTCGCCGTGTGCTCCACTGCAGGGCGGAGCAGGGACGGTGAATTGCACGTGAATTTGTTTAAAGTTTAGTAGACTTTCGCAACCTCTACCGCACACTCTCCTCCCCACTCCCCACCTGGATCCAGTGTCCAGACAGAGTTAAAAAGATCGGAGGCGGGGAGAGCGCGGGTCTGCCTGGCGTGCCACCACATCCCCTGGTCCACAACCAACACTTGACCAGGGTTTTAACCAGCAACGACAGAAGAATGGAGGCTGGCACGGCCGAAGTCTCACCTAGGCGTGCCGTCACACCCAATTCGGATCCTATGGAGTGGGAGTGCCATAAAGGCTACACTAAGACGGATCCATTACAGCCTGACATTTAGACCACTGGCCGGCCACTCCGTACAAACACGCAACACTGGGCTGACTGCGAGTTAGCATAGGAGCATTAGAGATATCATCTGTTTAAACAGGTACATTAAAAAAGTCCTCAAAGCCATAGGAAACAGACAAAAATTAGCGCACATATCGTGCCACACAAAATCAATGATAACCCGTTTTGAATCTCTCATTATAATGTCTTTTTGTTACCCAATATGAAATATCGAGGTAACACACGTTAATCATCAAAACTGCTAATAACAGCAAAGTGTGTGCCAACGTAGAGGTATCAAAAACTCATTTCAAATACTAAGCGCATTTATGCCATAAAGATCTAGTGATGAACGCGAATATTTTTTAACATAAAACTAAATGATGAATTATGTTTAACGGCGTTTCATCAATTAGAAGGTCCAATAGAACCATTAAGGTTCCCCAGACCCTTTCAAGGTGGAATGGTGTGTTTTATTTTGCGAGCAATCCGCAAGTGCTGATGAAGTGAAGTCTTCAAGATGCACTTTTATTTTCAGCTCCAATATTTGTACGAACGTTTTAAGGGGGTATTACTGGCATCTACAGTCTGAAAAGACATGCATGTGCGAAACCCCGGGGAGTAGGATATTTCTTGCATAGCGAAATAATCCGCACTTTCCTAACGAAGGTAAGGACGCATTCCCACCAAACGACTTCAGATAAGCGGTATAACGCGTCTCTGCGTCGGGAGCGGTATTGTGATGAGCGGAATGCCCATGTTACTGAACTGGCTGCGTTTAGGAAAAACATGCACGATATTTTACGTATTGACTATAAAGAATCCTTTTTGACTGAGAAAAACGCCATTTTATAGTCAGAAATTAAAATTTGACTTAAAGATTGTAACCGATTAGGAAGTTAGCCAAATTAAACAATTTCACCTGCTTTCATCTGGCTGTACCATGGGAACGCTGCTTTTCTACATTTTTCCACTATGTTCATTAGTTACTTCCTGAACAGAATCACCTTGGCTAAACCAAGGCGACTGATAACAAATACACTTTGTTTTCCTCTTCCTCTTATGTATCGATAGCTTTCTTGGATATGTGTCAAATCAAGAAGGAGCATTCAGTCTTTGGCAAACAGTCCTGAAATTGAAGGTGTATCCTTTTCCTTCCAAACAGACCTTGTTAAGTAAAGCCAGGATGTGAAAATAGTTATCTGGTTTATGAGATAGGGCAAATTTGATGTAGGCATTATAGTTTAGTAAAGGTTTTTGAGTTGCGCATAGACACATTCCAAATCCATGGATTGTTTTTTTTATGAAAACTGATACAGTGGTGGCAAACCTTCGATTGATCCAGATTAATCCATCCCTTTTAAAATGTGCTGGCATTCTTTCCTCATGCGTGTCATTATTGGCCTTATTTTTGATGCAGCCGTTGTCCTGGATTCGCAGTTCTTTTTGCCTTTTATTAAACAGAATGCTGTCATGTAGACATTTCCGTACAAAGTTTATCAACTTTAATTTATTAGATTAGGAAAAAAATATTCCATTTTTTTGCTTGATGTCTGAAAAATTCAAAAAACTCTCTTCAAAAAGAAAATGACGTCTTCCTCTTCTGCCTGGTAAACCTAAGCTCCACACTAGCATTAATAGCTCTGGTAGATCATGCCCATGCATATCTTGTGTGCGTGCAAATTAAGAAATATGGAACAGCTTCATGTTGGGCTGCAAATACCGACTCTAGTACAGAAACTCGTCAAACAGTTTGCTCCTTTGTAAGATAAGATTTTGAGGAGTAAAGCCCAACAAAACATGTTACTCTGACCGTCGAAAGCAGTCGTTGGCAGTCCCTTATTCCGGAAGGCGCGCACCTAGGTGCTTGCTTAAGGACAGGCTGACTTATCTGAATAGTTCTGTTAGGGGAAATTTGAATAATATATTTTGGCGGCAACTGTCATTCCATGCAGATTCATTTGATATCGTCAATCCTTTTTATGTCTTGATTTATTTTTATTCAAGCTACTGCCTCGACCATTTTCCCTAAGAACATTCACTGCATCCGGAAAGACAAAATTTTATGGATTAGTTAAATTTAAAAGTGTCTCCTGCCCATACTTTACTTTTATTTCGCGCTACAAAGCGCAGAAACGAAACTGACATCGAATGCATATTACCGAGGGAGAATTACTACTGGTCCCACTAGAGTGCATCGGGTAGAGAAACTCTCGAAAATTCTTCGCTAGCCTAGTTACCTACTGCTTCCAGGTGAGGGAATAAAAATAGAACGGATGTGTCTATGCTAGCGTCAAGTTTCCTCATGCCGGCTAGAGTGAGTCTCGAGGTGCTGTCCTACACGTAAGGGCAATCCACATAGTTAATGCCGTTAATAACAATGCTACATTTGTCCTTTGATGTGGTATGTTGGTAACTTAAGAGACCTAGTCACAGGGGTGGACATTGGTTTGTGTGCACCATTGATGTCAACGTCCTCCAGCACTGCATGCCTCTTTTATGTAAGGCGGTGTGAAGAGGGTTTAAACATTTAGTTATTTTCAGTTACTACAGGCGAACTTAGCACGAATTTTCGCAAAACTGTTCCTAGTCCTGCTTAGAGTGTCGAACTTGTCAAGTCGGAAAATTTAATTTCCGAAAATCTATTTGGCGACCATACGCTTTCTATCAATACAGTCTTGTCGGGCCAGTAAAATAAAGGGGGTAAAATAAAACGCATGCTTGCCACATAGTCTTCTGAAGACTGTCACGGGTCTTTCGCGTCCAATTTATTTGTATTAATAGGCCCTGCCGCATGATATAAAACACCTATTACCATACCTTTGCAACCACCCAGTATCAACTCATTGAAAATTTTAAGCTAAAGTAAAATCTCACATAAACGCACCTGCCATAAAAATGGGGATATTTATAAAGGCGGATTACATACTTATTTGGACATCTTTCATATCGTTTTCTTTAACATTCCATTTACACATGCACACAAGTTACAAATGCTATTTGCATATAGCCAGGAATTCACACGTAGGAAATGTTCCTGTCCATGAACATGATTGGAGTGGAAAAGCACAGCAGTGATAAAACGAAAACATTTTAAAACGTTGAGCCACTTCGCAAGAGCAAACACATTTAATTTCATCTGCTGTCACTAGTAATTTAATGTTTGTTATTTTCCCTACTGTGAGTAGTGGTGCGAACAGGTAAAATGGGTTCATCCCTTAGGCGTTATCCTGTCTTAGGCCGCTAACTTTACAATTCTTGAAAAAGAAAATGTTAAAGTAAAATTGTTGCCAAGGTTAGTAAATAGGATCCTATGAATGGCGCACGTTGACAAGTTTCTCAAGAACAGAAAAAAAGCTTCAAAAGACTTCGTTTTTTAACCGGTTCCCTCCATTTTACGAGTCCGAAACTTCTTGTTTTTAAATTTTTTCTACCTGATTAAGATACTTTGACACATGAATGCTATTCATAGGTATGCAGTATTGACGTCCGTTTGTTAATTATACGTAGGCAGTCAGTCGTGGAAAGGTCGTAAACGTTTTCCGTCAAATTCCTAATTTTCTGGAACAATTTAAGCGAATATCCATTTCATGTCATGCTCTTAGCTGACTTGGGAGTACTCGTCATGTTTAGATCTTTTTAACCAAGATAGTGTTAAAATCATTAAATGTATTCAAGGTTTGCTAAGGGTAAAAGAGAACGAGGTTTGCTATGCAGAGCAAAAAAGAAGACAGCTTTTAGGAAAATGTCTACCTTATCTGTTTGATTATACACAAAGTGTTCCTGTGCCAGATTGCGTAATCTCCACTTGGAAAAAATCCAGTAGGTCAGTATATGTGAAT